ACAGTGAAGACAATCGGATTAAGAAACCCTTTGTACCGCCTGAAATGTCTAAAAACAAAATAACGTTGTACGCATATATTGATAGATCAGTGCAGTTTACTTATTTGATGATAACACTAGATTAAACTGTAATAACTTCGATAAATGGGTGGCAGAAATGGAAGAACTTCGTTTTAACTCCGATAATGGCAGCGCAATATCAGCCTTCTACAATTTGCCGAGATTGTATCCGGGTACATTTCGCAAATCCTAAGAAACTTCCAAACTTCTATTCTTACGTAATTTTATGGGGTTGCTTTGAAAGTTGAGCATATTGCAACGGCAACGAACGCAACTCAGTCAGTATGAAAATAACAATAAGCGATTTATCGAATTCCAATTTTGCATGGCCAGGCCTGCGATATTAGAAAAAGGGAAGCGAAGGAATTTAGGAAAATTGCAAGGGATAAACGGGGCTTATAGGTATAATCCACTCAAATTGCGCTGGTTGGGAGGGAGATTCCTTTGGGTCGTTAACGGTGATGCGAAAGGAGGTTAAGCGTTTCTTTCGGGGAATTGTAATTGTGCACAATTCCTCCTGTCTGTGATTATGCGCTTTGTTACAATGTAAATCGTTTGGTTCGTGTGCTAGTACAGAATAAAAAAGCATGATGATACTGAAAATGCGTTTGTATCCAATTTGATATTTTATTTATTAGTACGATTTTAATAACACTTCAGTATAACATGGATCCTTGTTCAATTCACCTGAGAAACAATAGTAGGATTGTGTGTATGGGTGTGTGTTCACGTTAACGAAAAATGTATTAGAAAACTTATTTCGTAGGTGTTGATCCAGGTACAGGAACGTCTGAGCTTGTTTCAGACAAATAGCTTGCGCAATGGACAAAGGAGAGGAAAACAGTGTCATGTCCCAGAATTTCTACTATCAGTCATGCCTACGTCTACAATGTATAAGAGATATTAGGCATGATTAAGATAGCTTGATACCCCAAAAGGTCAAAGTTAACTTTAATACGTACTAGCATAGTGGATAATTATTTGATGCATCGCAATGAAAACCTAGGAATCAAAATCAAGTATGAAAAGTGTAAATACCTTTCTTAAAATTTAGCGCTACATCAAAATTTATAATAAGTGGGGTTGATTTCAACAAGTACATTACATTAACATTTTTGTCGCTCAAAAGTTTTTATCAAAAACACAGGCGTCAGAGAATTGTTAAGACATATACAAGTATTACTTATTGTTTGGGCTGTGTCGATTTAGGTATCGGGAGTGGTGGTCGCAAGGATTCATGTTCAGGAAAATGGTCAGTCTCGGGGAGGGAGGTATCAACGATTTAAAATTCAAGGGGTAATACGATTCAGGTCTAGCAATGTAATTTTAGTACCGAGATTTAGAAATTTGTTGGAATAAGACAGCACAAAGCGCCATCCATAACCAGAATCGAGCACTACAAAAGTGAAAACGGTCATTATAATATGTTAGATGTCTTTATTTCTGCAAGTTAAAACAGCTTTCGAGGAAGTAAATGAACAAATATAACGCACTCTAGTTGGAAACGTAGCGAGTATATATGTATGTTATTCGTGCATTTCATCAAATACACAATAAAACAATTCCGTTTATTAGTTTCATGAAGGGTTAATTCACCACCGCCGCTTGTAACGGTATAATCTGTCGCATAATGCGCTAGCATGCAGTCAAATATAGTCCGGCAACTGTGGTGAGCAAACCTAAACTCAAAAAATGAAATACTGTTGGTTGGTGTAACTTCTGAAACATATCCCATAACTGTTTGATTCATATCGAAACAAACAACTGAAACGCTTGTCGAGTATTATTTTACATGTATGTTATCCAGTTTATATGAGGCAAAAAAGTTGCAGATATGTTGAACATGATTTCAGATGTCTTGACAGCTTTGTTTATTTGACTTATCGACCTTACAGCCTTATTTTGTATCCAGACCTTGCTTTATGAGCAATTGTATACCAGTTACTAAAACTGCAATTCTCCAGTCAAGATTTTCTTGGTAAAATATATTTGAATGGGCTACTCATAGCAGTATGTTAGATTGAAAGTTTGATAACGTGTAAATTATCTCATACCTTTGGCCAGATCCTAGTTCCATTTTTGTAGTCTACACCACAAAATTTGATCTGCGAAAGGTTGGGAAATCTCGGAACTGGAGATACTTACAGACCAAAATACAGGGTGTCAAGTTTCAATTTTATTTTCTATTCCTCCTTATTGCTTGAGAAGCATATCAGATTTTTTTATGGCCAAACTTCTAGAGGGTGCCACTTACTACACTATTTCGGTAAATAACTTATCATAAGTTTTTTGTGCTACCCTGTATACAACAACTGACTGAAAAATCTTATTTTTTCGTATATCCACAACAAAAAAAGGTTACTTGTTCGAAGTGTCTAAAGCTAATAGTTTCCGAGATATTTGTTTTTAAAAATCCCAATGCATTATTGGTACCAAGATGATAAAAATATGTTTCTAACATAATAACCAAATTGTTCAAATGAGCACCACCTTGCCTAACATACCCTCGAGCTAGACGAACTAATCCTTGCTGCACTCTCCAAAGCATTTAGATGTTACTTTTCATTTCCTGGCTATGGTGGAAAATTCTTTGTCGAAGATCATCTACAGTTTCCACTGGCAGATTGTAATCGCGTCGTTTTAAATCACCCCAGAAGAAGAAACCCATGGGATTTAGATCGGGTGATCTAGCCGGTCACCATACAGGTCCTGATCGGCCTATCCACTGGTCTAGATGAACTCTATTTAGGTGCTCTCTAACTAATATACTAAAATGAGGTGGAGCGCCCATAAACCACATATTCATGCGTGTTGTAATGAAAGATCTTCTATCAGAGAGTGTCAATTCACATATTTTGGTCTGGAGTATCTCCAGTTTCGAGATTTCCCAACCATTCGCAGACACCCTGTATAGTAGATAGTGATTAAGGCCTTTGCTTATCAGTTCATATCCTCTTGGCCAGCTTCTGTGAAGTTTGTAGTTGATATATGCTATGATGAACAGGGTATTAAGTGTTTTAAATGATATCAAAGACATAATAGACATACTTGGACATTTTCTGTGTGAATATATTGAAATGAATTAGAGAATTCAACCAAAAGTAACTACAAGCCACTTTATAAATGTTGAAAAACGCAACTAAAAAAGCTCACCAACTCGAAAAAGGAAAACCCGATAAATGAGGTTAAAATCATTCAGGCATTTGGCTGATAAAAAATATGTACAGCACGTAGGATGCGTTTCCACTAATCCTAATGGAAAACATTGTGTTTGTAAACAATAAACCGCAACACTCACATTTTTTGAAATGCTCGTAGCGGCTGATCATTTCCATTACTGTTTTCCCGCGAGGTGCATTTTCTGAAAAGCTCAGACTAGTACATCACGTCCACGCATGATAATTCCGGTCATGCGTCAACATTCGTGAAATAATTCAACGAATTTCGGTTTACCACAGAACGATCTGAACATCACTGCCGACAAACAGTGACCTATGAACAGTTTCAATTAACCAAATGTTATGAAAGGCCAAATAAACTAGTTAGTTTAGTCCTTGCGACATATAATTATTGTGGCCATTTTAGGGCAAAAACGTATAGGTTACAGTCATTGTTTAACATATTCTTCCAGAGAATAGCCAAGCTGATGCTATATCTCCGCGTCCAAAAAAATATCAACAATCGACACCCTCGGGAAAAAGAAGCGGTCGTATCAGCCAGTTCTGGATGTACGACAGGGTTAGGATGGGAGGCCAAAGTCAGGCGGGTCTGTCTGGCAGGCACATTGCGCGGAGGTATCATGGAACAAAGCTCTGCTGTAGCGGTGGAAGAGAGCTAGGTCGCCGACGGCCCGCCGATGCGAAAGGGTCCCGAGACTGCCTGTTAGAAAAGATTCATCGATCAGTCGGACAGCCCTCCTCTCCACAGGATCGAGCATAAATATGTAGTCGGGGCGGCAGCACCCCAAACGTGTGATCAATGCTCGAGGCTAGGCCTTATCTGGGCCTTGTATAGAGTGAGAATATCATGCGGAGAAAGTGCTTCCTAGCCCTAAACAAATAGCTTAGCTTTTTGCCAGTAGATGTCGCTATTGACGAGATGTGTGTGTCGGACCAAGTCCTCGGTGATCTGGACTCCGACCAGCCGAATTGAACGGCTCTTTGGCATAACTCGACCATCCATCGAAACCAGATGAGCGTTAGGATGCTGTTTGTTCGTCAAGGTAAAGTACTGTGTTTTGGGAGCATCAAACTGTACGAGATTGTTGAGTCCCTATGCGGTAATAACCTCCAGGAGCTTGATTCTAAATGAGTTTCAACCGTTGTAATTAATTTCGACGCTGACTTGTGATGATACATTTTATTCGCTGTGATAATTTTGACATTTGATTATATAGATTTTCTATATTCATATTATCGTGTTATTGTCAAAAGTATCAGGGCAAATCAAGTATATCGGCACGAGCCGCCATCCAAATCAATTTCAACGGTCGAAACTCATTTGTAATCAGGCTCCGGTTGTCTGATCAGGCAACGGCTTGTCACTAAGTTCCTGCATGTGGAGTACTGTCATCAGCGAAGCTGCAGATTGGATTGATCGTACAGGAAACCAGGTCGTTGATATGTAAGAGGAACAGTGTTGGAGCTAAGACATATCCCTGGGGAACACCCGCGTTGGCGTTGTGGGATGAAGAGGAGAACCCATCTGCAAAGAATTTCTGGGAGACCATACGATGGAAGCTTGCATAAGAATGATATCAAGAGAAACGACTTGAACCTTACCATAAGACTAGATGAGTTTACTCCACAATTGCGAACGCAGGCTAGGAGGTCACCTGTGGATCGCTTGTGCTGGAAACCATACTGCCTATCGCTAATAAAGCCGTGACGTTCGAGGTAGTCCAGAAGCTCGCGATTTACCTCTTCATCACCTTACTTATAACAGAAAGCAGAGCTATACGACTGTAGTTGTAAAGGTTGGTCTTAAATCCTTTTTTTGGGATGGGTTGGACATGATCAAATTTCCAGTTTTCTGGGAAGGTGCCGGATTCGTAAGATATCTGGAAGAGACGCGAAAGAACCAGAGCAAGCTCCGCTGCAAACTTATTCAGTACAATGGCAGGAATCAAGACATTACCAGAAGTTTTGTTGATGTCGAGGGACAGGAGCACCCG